TTAGTTGCTGTAGATTTTCTGGGTTGTGTGGCTGTAGTCTTGGAGAGTACTCTCCATCTTTCTGTGTTATACCACTGAGGATGCCAGTCACAGTTACTGGTGAAACGTCAGGTTCTACAATGCCAAAACTACGGCCACACAACCCGGAAAATCTACAGCAACTAATGAACTCCGGCCGTGAAAGCCTTCAACAATTTACAGCTTACTTTGCATATAAAACTGCAATACTTGACATGTTTATGGAATTTAAATCTTATAAATACTTAGTTTTGTACAAACAAAATTGCAAATATACCCAATACTTGAGAGAAAACTGCAAGCTGGAGAATCCTACGCTATCTTAGCACATGTACCTTAATTTTTGCTATCTGGTTAGAGAGAGCTAAATTCTTAATGAAACTTTCAGTTTTCCTCAGAGGTACTGGTATAGTTTCTGCCCCACTTCCTTCTGATCTTACCCAGTGCTTGGGTTAATTGTGCCATAGTGGTTTAAGGAAGAGGTGAAAAGGTCAACCACATCAGGTCAAAAGGCCAACAGAAGGCATGCAACTGCTGAGAAACAATGCAAGCCCTGTATATGTTCTCATGAAGACTAGGTATCCTTCTAGGTGCAGAAACATGTCTTGGATTGAAGAGCTGTATATGTCTACACCATGTGTTGAAAAGCATTTCATTTTTTTCTAAAGAGAAAATATTTCATAGGAGTTTTTTCAGTAGTCCCCAAAATTTCCATTGGAAAAAATGGGGGGAAGCCTTAAAAAACCAGGAAAAAGTACCCCCCCCTTTCCCCTCCAGCCTTCACATTTCTAGCTGTGGGAACTCAGATAGCTACCACATATGTTAGCATATTTACGGTTAATTTAGATCCACACTTCCTAAACTCTTACACCACAGTATGGCTCCCCTGTGTGAGGTACATCAAAGACATCCTCACCATGAGAGCCTATGGAAAGAGTATCTTTTAAAAATTCAGCAAGAGTTCAACCTAAACTTGGAACATTCCCTGCAGCAGGTCTACTTTCTATATACTAGGGTTCAACAAATGTCAAGCACCAGATTGCCATGGAACCTAGAAATTTCACAGTGGCATCTAGTACTTTCAGCAATGTAGCATCTATTGTAGCATCTCTCAGGAAACAAAAAAAGTTCATATCAGAATGTTCTATTGTATGACACAAAAATAAATGTGCATTAAGTTCTTGTCATTTCTTGTTCAAATGATAACTTTACATCATTCAATGATGATAGATGAAGTATTTTTAACTTTTCTATACTGCCTTCAATAATCAATTTAATGGAAATTATTTAATTGTGGAATTATGAGACATTGGGGAAGAATTAGATAAAAGTTAGAATTAGTTTTATGTTGTGCTGATTACAGTCAGGGTTACCCCATATTATTTATATACTACAACACTCAGGTTAAGATTAGGTTTCGGGCAACAATAATCAGAAAATGTGGTCATTAAAATACAAAACCTGAAGGCTGAAAAATGAGTCTAGCTTCTGAATTCTGGGGCTGCCTCCTAGAACCAAAAAAATGTATCAAGGCCCACTATATACCACAGTAAAACTATGGAAAGGGCATATAAACTTCCAAAGTTTTACTGTGGTATATAGTAGGCCTTGAGAGGGGCATCCCATTCCCCCTGCCTTTCCTTCTTCCCCTCTCCCCCACCCTGCCGGGCCATTCCCCCCTTTCCTGCTCGGGCCATTCAGCCACATGTCTCCCACTGCCACTCTACTTGTACATCCAGCTGCCCAGTCATCTGCCTCAAACTGCGGTGGTGGCAAAAGGGAAACACTGGGAGAATTAGCTATATTGGTATCAAAAACCAACATGGCAACACATACTTACATGTGCCCAACTATTACCCAGAGCATAAATCACAATCTACAGCCCTGTAATATAATACAAGCACAATTGCTCTAATCCAGGGGTGTTGAACTCATTTGTTATGAGGGCCAAATCTGACATAAACGAGACTTTGTTGGGCCAGGCCATGTGTGTCATAAAATGTAATGCCAGGTAGCGGAGATATAAACTTTATAAAGGACACAGACAAACACAATTAAAGATTTTTTAAACTTTAAATAAAACATGCTTAAAACACTGGCACTCTTGCAGTATTTTGTCTATTTAACAGTCTCTGATAACTGACACCTCTGCTCTGAATTATGTCTGTGCTGTAGCAATCCTGAGTATGCTGTTCAAGGTATGTATCTGTAAGCTGCAAACCTACTTTTGATTTATTGACATTTATTACAAAAATCTCATGCTCAGTGTTCCTAGCCTAGGTCCCAGGGGAAAACATGAAATGGCTGGGCATTGCAACCTTTTGTACATACGTTGCTTCATGTGCTGGTCAAGAACATGAGAAGGCATCCTAACACAGACTGAAGGCCATGTGTTTGTCTACAAAACTACACTCTTCCCCAGAGAAATAACAACAACTTCCTAAAAAAGGGGTGAACTTGATCTGGACACACACTCTCAGTCTAATCCACCTCACTGGCTTGTTGTTATTCCTCCTCTAAAATAGTTCACATTGCTTTCTTACTGAAAAAGACTGGATCATGAGGGAATGAATACAGTGAAAAGGGGGAGGGAACCCAGTTGCACCCAGAAGAGCCTTGGTATAAAAAGCCCAACAAAACACACACATGCTGTAGCAAGGCACACAAAACTTCATACCTTGAACAAAATTTTGTTTATCCTGCCTTGCCAGGGCAAGCTGGCTCTTAAAGGTGCTTGGTATTTCTCCCGTGTGACTGAAGCAGCCCAGCAAAGCAAATTCTCCCTCATTCCCTCCCTAACTTCAGGGAGGAGCCTCACCAGTGGAAGAAAAGAAAGGCTTCCTTTCCTTTTCTCCTGCAGCCTGGCCAGGAAGCAAGCTCTGGCTGTTCCCTCCCTCCCCACAATTCTTTACCAGACTCTCTCAATTGCACAGGACAGCCTTGCCTATCTATCTCTCCTGTGTGATTGACAGAGACTGATAAAGCAAGTTGTAACATGGCGGCAGCAGCAGAACTGCAAATGGAAGTAGGAAACGGCCAAGGCCTTGCAGGCCTAATCTGGCCCGTAGGCCACATGTTTGACACCCCTGCTCTAATCCTTTGGACAGACACCTATAGGTTTTCTTAAAACTATAATGCTCATCGGGGCAATGAAGATATAGTTCAAAAAACTTAAACGGGTACTAACGGATCAATGGGATTACAAAACACAATAATCTCTGAAAGTAATTTCTCTCCAGCATCATTTTATGGATCTACTACCCATTCTGGAAGATTTAATATGGCTTAGGTAGAAGGCCTGTCCTTGCTTAGAGAAAGCCTCCACAAAGTGAAACATCAAACAGGCCATCTAACAGAGGCATAACATCCAAATCACAAGATGTCCTAGTCCCACTGTACACTGCATTGGTCAGGCCGCACTTGGAGTATTGTGTGCAGTTCTGGAGGCCTCCCTTCGAAAAGGATGTGAACAGAATGGAGAGGTTGTAGAGGAGAGTGACGAGGATGATCAGGGGCCTGGAGACCAAGCCCTATGAGGAAAGGCTGAGGGATTTGGGAATGTTTAGTCTGGAGAAGAGGAGGTTGAGGGGGAACATGATTGCTCTCTTGAGAGCTGTCACTTAGAGGAGGGCAGGGAGCTGTTCCTGTTAGCAACAGATGATAGGACTCGCAATAATGGGTTTAAATTAAGGGCAGGAAGGTACCAGCTGGATATTAGGAAACACTTTTTTACAGTAAGAGTTGTTCAGCAGCAGAATCAGCTCCCTAGGGAGGTGGTGAGCTCCCCCTCACTGGCAGTCTTTAAGCAGCGGCTGGACAAACACTTGTCAGGGATAATGAAGGCTGATGATCCTGCACTGAGCAGGGGGTTGGACTAGATGGCCTGTATGACCCCTTCCAACTCTGTGATTCTATGATTCTAAGGAAAAGGCCACTGGCTGTTCAAGAGCGTGGGTACAGCACAACAAATGTGGGATCAAAGATCTTGACTCAATCGTCCACCTTTGCCACAATCTGGGCACAGAGGGTCTGTCCCTGGGATCAAAATACTGTTTTTTCAGTGTTGCTGATCACAGGGACAGAACCTGTTTGGGTCCAGTTTAAATAAGTATAGACTCTGAAACCATGCTGTGGTCACTGTGTAGAGCCAGGCCAGTGTACTCAATCCAAGGCATGTGTTAGACCAGCATGTTACTCCTTTGCACACAATTATGCCTTGAGCACAGATATGAGCCTATTAATGTGACAGAGGAAGTATGTGGCCATGTCCTGTGTGACCAGACAGCAACACTAACAGCTTTGGGGTTAATGTGTAAAATATAGAATCATAGAGTCGAAAGGGACCTCCAGGATCATCTAGTAACTAATAAAAGACAATATAATGATCTGTTTCAAAGTTTGAGTCCAGTGGCACCTTTAAGACCAACAAAGTTTTATTCAAGGTATGAGCTTTCTGTGCACGCACACTTCCTCAGATACAATGACATTGAATTTCCCAGTCCATACATATAAGGCAGAGGCTGAACAGCAAATTTGCATACAGCATAATGAAGATGTTTTAACAGATGCAAACAGAAATAACAAGCTAAGTTTATAAGGTCATCATTGTTTGGATCTATTTCAGGCATCCTAGAAAGCGGATAGTTTCCTACCCCAAAAAAATTATCATCACATAGCTTTTACAGCCCCATCCATGTTTACATGGAAATAAGTTTTACCAAATGCGGACATATTGAGTCTATGCATTTCCCCACGGAACGTAGGGCTTTGCCTGCAAGAAGCACCTTTATTTACTCTAAAAACATAGTGCCGGCGGAAGAGGCTGAGCCACCAAAACAAATCCAAAAGCCCAGCCTGTGGGCCTGTGATTTGTTAGCAGCTGCTCTCAACGACTGACTTGGCAGCCGCTATCTGAAGGGGGCGGGACTCGTTGTAGAAAAGAGGAGAAGGCGGGCTCCAAGTTCCGCCTGCGAGGGACTTACCTAGGGAATCTGTCCTTCAGTTTCCTCAGGCTCTGCCTAGTTGGGGGAACTTGAGCCAGGAATCGGGCGATCTCGTCATACTGGGCTTTGCTCAGCTTCATGCCTCCCGCTCACTCTCGGGGGAAGGAAGAGGAGGAGCTGCTGCAGTTTAAGAGAGCGCGCGGAGACGGCCGCTGTGGAGATAATTGCCCCCTAAGGCGGGAGAGGGGAGAGGAATACCCGAGGGGGGGGGAACCAAACGAGCCAACCAAATTCAATGGAAAGCTCTGCCCCGAGCCCTTCAAGTCCTCCCCACAGCCGGGAAACAGAAGCGCCCATGCGCGACTCTCGCGGCTCCTCCCTGGTGCGTCTACGTTGAGAGCGATACTCGGCCTTTTCCTCTTGTGTGCAGGAACTGCTGCCGCGACAGGCGGGAAACGGTCGGGAATGCTAGGGAGGAAAACGGGAGACCAAAATGCGTGCCTTCTTGTGCGCAGAATTGGGCTAATGCCACTCTTGAAGCAGAGCAAAAAGCCGCTTCTTGGTAGTTTTTTTTTTTTTTTTTTTTTTAAGAGCGGCAGGAAGGAAAAAGCCTTTAGTCTGTTCAAGAGGGTAGCCGAGGCAGAGGGGGAGGCAGCAGAAGGGTTCCAGCCCTCCTGCCACCTCGGGTTGCCAGCCTCCAGGTGGGGCCTGGGGATCTCTGGCTTTTACAACTCCCCTGGAGAAAATGGCTGCTTTGAAGGGGGATTCTATGGTATTGCACCGTGCTGAGGCCCCTCCCCAAACCCCGCCCTCTCCTGGCTCCACCCCCAAAGTATCCAGGTATTTTCCAAACTAGACCTGACAACCATACTGCCACCAGGTCCCTCTCAGTAACCTGAGGGAGAGCCAAAGATTGTTCTGGAGGGATTGGAGGATGGGTGTACTGAAACCAATGACAAGACTGCCAGTGGGGAAAATGGGAGATGACTGAATGTCTACAGGATATAATGGGAGCCAGGAATACCAGCTGACTTGCCTTGGTTCCATTAAATATGTTACTGTAAACAAATGTTGCAATGAAAAAAGTGGAACTGATTTCAAGAAACTTGCCCTGGTCCGGGAATGACAGTTCCAGGACGAAATGAACGCCTGTGAGACCAGATAGACTGCTCCGAGAATGGAAAAACAGTCCATACTGGTAGCATAAATGTTCTAGGACTGGAATCACAGCTTCCAGGATGGCATGACAGTCCCTGGATGTAACAGAAGTGTCCTGGGACTGGAAGGACAGGCCCCAGTGTGGAATGACCGCCCCTGGGATCAAATAAACTGATCTCGGACTAGATGGAACGATGGTCCCAGAGACTGGGATCAGTACTCTTGAGACTGGAATAGCAGCTCCCCCCGGCCCCAGAATGATGGAACCCGTACACTGGGACTGAAATGACACCCTGCCCTGCAGGGAATGACGCCCCGGGATTGGAATGACAGCCCCCAGAGTGGAATTATGGTCCCCCTGGGGGTAGCATAACTGTCTTGGGACTTGAATAACAGTTCCTGGGCCCAAATAAACTGCACTGGGACTGAAATGACAGCCTGTAGAGTGGAATGACAGTCCCTGGGACTAAAATTAGTACTGAGGCACTAGAATGACAGCCCCTGAGACTGGAAGCAGTACACTGGGGCTGGAATTACAACCTCTGGGACTGGAATTAGTGTTTTGGGAATGGAAAGACAGTCCCCTGAGTATACTGACAGTTCCTGGGAGTAACAGAGGTATCTAGGCTGAGGTAAATTGCACTGTGACTGAAATGACAGCTCCCCCACAGAGTGGAATGGCCATCCCTGTGATTCAAATCAGTGCTCTGCAACTGCAATCATGAGCCTGTCATTCAAGTCCCAGAGCACTATTTCCACACTTGGACCATAATTCCACTCTGGAAGATGTCATTCCAGTCCCAGAGCAGTTTATCTTGGTCAAGGGGCTGTTATTCTAGTCCCATAGTACTGATTCTAGTCCCAGGGGCTTGGCACTGCTGTGCATGTACTCATTACTCATGGCAGGGAGCGGTGGCGCAGGCAGTTAAACGCCTGCACTGTAACATCACCTGAGCAGCCACTATGGCTGTTCGAGTACCACCGCGGTCGAGGTGAGCTCTCGACCTTCGTCCCAGCTCCCGCCTACCCAGCGGTCTCGAAAGCAACCTAATTGCAAGTAGGTAAATGGGTACCCACCCTTAGAGGGGTGGGGGGCACCCTGTGTGGTTGGCTGAAGATGGCGGAGATAGCGGAGACGGCGGCAATGGCGGCAACGATGGCGGCGGCGGTGATCCTTTCGTGGACGGCATTGGTGGTGTGGCGAGCAAGGCGGCGGCGAGCAAGGCAAGGTGCGCGTTTGAGCGATCCCTGGCGGCGGAGAAGGAGTACACCGAGGGCTGCCGTGAAGAGAGAAGAAAGGGGCGTGCGCAGATGCCGAGTTCCGGCTCAGCGGAGCCAGAAAGGACGTGGCTGGGCCGGAAAGTAGGCGGAGCTGGGCGCCTAAGGAGGAGATCGCCACCACTGAATGCCGGAGACGCCAGAGAACGCCAGAGAAAGAACAACCCGCTGGACCAGGAGACCCGACCATGCCGAGCCAACGGAGAAACAGCAATAGCCACCACAGAGGGGGTGCCGGTAGGTTGTCCCACCCCCCCTTCATACATTGTGGCCCTAGCTAGGAACACAGGTGATTAGCACCAGAAACCCTGTAAGCCGCTCTGAGACCCTAGCCATGGGACAAGAGCGGGATATCAAGTCTAATGTAAATAAATAAATAAATACTACCCCGCTTCCTGCAGGGGTGGGTGTTGGATGTGGGAGAGGTCTAGGGCCCTAACAGGGATTTCACTCAGTGCAGATTTAAATGGCCAGTCTGCCCTGTGAGTGTCTCAGGCCCCGCTGTGGCTGCTTTCATAAAGGCAAGGTTTGAGGCTGCAATCCTATAGCAGCTACTGCTTGGATGACAGCCATATTTCACTAGAAGTCCACATTCACAGGCTCAAGCACAGACTGGTAATCAGTTGTAGTTGTTCTCCTATTCAAATCTCAGAACGAAGAAGAGAAGAAGAGATTGGATTTATATCCCGCCCTTCACTACCCAAAGGTGTCTCAGAGCAGCTTACAAACTCCCCTTCCCCACAACAGACACCCTGTGAGGTAGGTGAGGCTGAGAAAGCTCTGACAGAAACTGCTCTTTTTCAAGAACAGCTGTGCCAGAATTTTGGCTTGCCCAAGGTAATCCAGCAGGTGCAATTGGAGGAGTGGGGAATCAAACCCGGTTCTCCCAGATTAGAGTCCGCGCACTTAACCACTACACCAAACTGGCTCTGTTTGAGTCTGCTGCTTCAGACCCACCTGTTCAAATCTGAGTCACTTTCTCCAGTCGGAACTGGACTAGGTAGGCTCCAATCATTTGCACGTTCACTGGAGACCACTAATATCTGTTGAGCTCTAGTACAAATTTTCAGACATAAGTACCTTTCAATTAAATTGAGTTAACAGCTTAAAAGATTTCAAGCTGTCAAATATAATGCAGCTAAGCCTGTGGTTTTTAACCCGCTGCCAACCAGCACCCACCAAGTATGCAGCATAATACTTGAATCGTCCCCAGGCCACATGTAAAAAATCAAGACAAAATCAGGTCTCTAGACAAGGCAGCTTTATTTATATATGCATACAATATACAGATTTCAGGCATACAATCAATTGTACCCTTGAGAAACCAGTATAAGGGTCAAGAAGCGACAGTTAGTACCGGATATGGAACAACTGATAGGTTTAGCATAGGAAAAGGAGTACGACAAGGATGTATATTGTCACCTTGCTTATTTAATATATATGCAGAGTACATCATGTGAAATGCTGGCCTGGATGAATCACAAGCGGGAATTAAGATTGCTGGGGAAAAGATCAACAACTCACCGCAGACTGTGACTGCAGCCATGAAATTAAAAGACGCCTGCTCCTTGGGAGGAAAGCGATGGCGAACCTAAACAGCATGATAAAAAGTAGAGACATCACCCTGCCAACAAAAGTCCGCATGGTCAAAGCAATGGTATTCCCAGTAGTCTTGTATGGCTGTGAGAGTTGGATTATGAGGAAGGCCGAGCGCCGACGAATAGATTCTTTTGAACTATGGTGCTGGAGAAGACTCTTGAGAGTCCCTTGGACTGCAAGAAGATCAAATCAGTCAATCCTAAAAGAAATCAACTCTGACTGTTCCCTGGAAGGCCAGATAATGAAACTGAAGCTCAAATACTTTGGCCCTGTCCATACGAGCCCATTTGGGCCGGGAGCGGGACGGAACGGGGGCGGAGCAAACGGGCGCGATCCCACCTCAACATCTGGGGAGCGTGCCGTCTCTGTCCCTGATCCGTCCCAAATGCAGATACTGCACCGTAAAAAAGAACCACCTATCTAGGTGGTTGCATCCATTGGAGCGCCTCAAGCTGGGCTGTGGGATCGGCGGCGCTTCCTTGCGCCGCCGCATCCCAGCCCCCGGCCGTACTGCGCATGCGCAGTTCGGCAGCCTCCCCCTCCCATCGGACTTTTCCTCTCCGGCATCTGATCATGCCGGGGAGCGATGCGCCGTGGCTCAGGGGATCCGTGGGATCCCGCCGCAGCGTCTCAAGTTTGGAGCGGCTCTGAGTAGCCACGTTTCAGCCGTCCCGTGTGGCAGGGGCCTTTGGCCACCAAATGAGAAGGGAGCACTCACTGGAGAAGACCCTGATGCTGGGAAAGATTGAAGGTCAAAGAAGACGGGGGCGGCAAAGGATGAGATGGTTAGACAGTGTCATAGATGCAACGAACATAAAATTGAGCCAACCAGAGGACGGCGGAAGACAGGAAGCCTGGCGTGATATGGTCCATGGGGTTGCAGAGAGTCGGACTCGACTGTGCAACTGAACAACAACAACAAAAACCTGATGACCATCAGCCAGCTCCTTAATGTCTGGCTTGATTCCTATTTGTTGTGTTCCATTTTTGTAAGCCAGTTTGGTGTAGTGGTTAGGAGCGTGGACTCTAATCTTGGAGAACTGGGTTTACTTCCCCACTTCCCCACATGCAGCTGCTAGTGTGATCTTGGATCAGTCACAAGTTCTTTCAGAGCTGTTCTCTCATGAGCAGTTCTCGAAAGAGCTCTCTCATCCCCATCTACCTCACAGGGTGTCTGTTGTGGGGAGGGGAAGGAGATTGTAAACTGCTCTGAGACTTCTTCGGGTAGCGAAGGGCAGGGTAGAAATCCAATCTCCTCCTCTTCT